GGGATAAGACAGTGGGCCCCACCCCTACTCCACATTCTCCCAGGCCAGCCTTGGTGGTGGTGGGATGCTTTATGTTGGGAACTGGGATTCAGAAGGGCTTCACCCCTGGATCAGACCTGGGCCATGGACACGGCTTTGTTAAGAGAGAACCCTCTGGGGCTGGTGCTGTGGTGTAGTGGGCTAAGCCTCCATGTGCAGTGCTGGCATACCACATGGGTGTCGGTTCAAGTCCCGGCTGCTCCTCTTCCAATCCAGCTCTCTGCTATGGCCTGGGAAAGCAGCAGAAGAAGGCCCAAGTGCTTAGGCCCCTGCCACCCATGTGGGAGACCAGGAAGAAGCTCCTGGCTTCTGGCTTCAGATTGACCCAGCTCCTGCCGTTGCGGCCATCTGGGGAGTGAACCAGCAGATGGAAGACCTCTCTCTCCATCTCTCCCTCTGTCTGAGACTCTGCCTCTCAAATAAATAAGTAAAAATTTTCTAAAAACATAGCACCCTCTCAGGAGGTGCTCTGAGAGCATGGGAGCCAGATGCTGTTAACCGAGAAGGAGCGGGGGCTACGTGGAGGAGGAGACGGTGCAGCAGCATGGGACAGTTTACAGGCTGTGCGGGACTGCCCACTTTGGGGACACCACAGTGGGAGCGGCCCCCGCAGTGCTTTGTAAACACCATGAGCTTGGTGAGCAGATGAATGAAAATTCTCCTGAGGACGTCAGATTTTAGGGACTCTGGGATTTACTAACCAAGCTCTCCTGACACTCCTCCCCCTCCTCGGCTTACCATCGGGGAGATCCCTCAAGAGTCACTGCTGTCCAGTTGTGGGGGCTGCCTGTGGACGCCCCAGTGTCCTGACCACACAAGCAACCTCTAGGAAGCAGTGCTCTCCGCGAAGTCTGCCCCGAGCTCTCCTGTGACCAAGGGCAGGCTCCAGAGCCGGCTGCAGAGGACCTCAAAGCCACTTTTTCCATCATCAGCCACATGCATTAAAGGCAGTGATGTTTTTATTCTAAGTCAGATTCCATTAATGAAGCCCCATTTAACGGAAGTCAATTTACCAAAAAGAAGGAGGAAAAAAGAGTAATTGCTTAAACACATTTTATGTTGTACTGCAATAGCAATTTACTGTGCGAACTTGGAATTCCCCAAGCCCCCCAGAGTGAAGTTAATGTGGACAGAAAGGTTCAGAGGGGAGCCTCTCTCTTTGTGTTTCTCTCCTTTAATTATGATTGTAAGAGGAAGCAAAATTAAAGAGGATGCTGGGGGGTGGAAGCAGGGGGAGGGAGACGAGCAGGATCAGAATGGGAGCCGGCCGCAGCTGCTGCCTTCCTTCAGCCTGCATGTTCAGTGCAGTGGCTCAGAGCATGGGCTGTGAACGGGGTGGACCGGGTTTGAATCCCACCTCTGCCCTTCAAGTGCTGTGTGACCCTGAGCGAGGTTCTTTGCTTCTCTGTGCAGCCTCAGGGTGCGACCACAAAGGGCATAAAGAGCGGAAGTGAAATAGGCAGGGAGCCACCGAAGAGCTGTGTTCCAGGACACGGTTGCTCTCCTGTTTGACAGAACATCAGTGTGTATGTGTGTGTGTGTACTGGGGGCCAGCGGGGGTACACTCAGGATGGACAGGCAGCAGACTCAGACTAGGAAGGTTTTGATGAGCAAGTGACAGTTGATCAAAGGGGCGAGCCAGGCAGAGGTCTGGGAGAAGAGCCAGCCTAGCAGGCAGTGGGAGTGTCATGTGCAAAGGCCCTGAGGCAGGAGCAGACCTGGCCAGCTTTGAACAAGGAGACCCATGTGGCTGGAGTGCGAAGCACCTGGAGGTGAGAAGAGGAGGGGGTGGAGGAGGCGACGTGCACTGTTTCTGAAGGCGTCCTAGGTCACAATGAAGTCTTGCCCTCTAAGGGCCGGGACCATTGGGGGTCGGGTTTTGTAAGGCATAATGTAGATAAAATGAGAATCTGTGTTTCACATGGACAGTTCGTTGCTTTGACAAAGGAACCCATCCCACGTGGTCAACAGTTCGTGCGAGACCCAGAGCACGTCCACCAGCCCCAAGGTCCCCGCGTTCGCCTGGGACCCTGCCGCCTCAGAGCCCCCCACCTGCTCTGCAGTGCGTATGCCCACAGGGGCAGGGCCAGAGCCCCGCAGAGAAGCCCACAGACCCAGCAACTGGGCGTTGAGCAAAGCTCGAAGCTCCTGCCGCTGGAAGCCTTGGGCGCAGGGTGGTGACGCGCCCCCCAGAGGCCTCAGCGGCAAGGCCAACCCGGAAGTCCCGCCCAGGGGCTCTCAGCGACTTCCGGGCTCAGCCCTGAGCCCTCACCCCGTCCTGCTCCTGGGACTTTGAGCCCTTCGGTCCATCCATGTTGGGATGGAGAGCCCTAGTTCTGAATTATTCAGGTAAATTCTCCCGGTGTCCACTTCTCTTATGTAAATAGCCTCCAGGTTTTGTCAATGAGATAGAATTGAATTTGGCCTGGGGGATAAGAAGTCCACAATACAATTTGTGGCTCCTTGGAACACTTAAATGACTCACCTTATAATAAACTATTTTAAATGGGACCTGGCGAAATACAGTAATTGGTTTTTATAATAGTTTTTACCATACGAGTATGGCTTATATTCCTGGAGTTTGGTGTGTGTCAGCATTTTTATTATAGGAAAAATTCAGTTTCCTAGGGTGTGACTCCTCCTCGGCTGCTTCCCGTGTTTAATGCATATTTATGGAGACGTTTTCTGCCTGGTCTCCTCCGTGGGGGCCTCCAGGTCTCCCTGCCCCGGCCTGGGGAGACTCACCCTTCGGGGCAGCACCAGGATGCTCCCATGCCTTCTGGCTCAGAGTGGGGCTGGATCAGCGGGAGCATGGGCAGGAGACTGGAGGAGGGGAGCGAGGGGAGTGAGTTCTGGATCGTCATTGCTCGTTCCCTGCCTTGGGATTCTCACAGACGGCTACAGACCCTGGAGGCTGGCCGTCTGTTTACAGATAACCACTGCCTCGCCTTGCCACCCCACAGTGGAGCATGGCAGTGAGCTAAGGAGCCCCACCCCCATTCCCCAGTCCCAGGCTGCTGCCCCCTCCCTGGAGTTCTCCCTACAGCCTGCCTTGCCGTTGCTTGATGTCACACACAACACTGGGGTTCCTCCTGTTATGGCTGTGCCTGCTGTCTCCTGCTGGAACCCTGACACGCCCACTCTGCATGAGTGTTGGGGGTTGGGAGCCAGGATCCGGAATAAAGCAGCGGCTGCCATTGCCCGGGATGCGGCTGAGGGCTTCTGGGTGGATTATCTCACCTAGCCCTTGCAGCCCTCTACGGGAGCCGTTAGCATCGTCCCCATTTCACAGACAGGGTCACCTGCACGGCGCAGGCTTCCTTACCACTGGCCTCCCTTGCCCACTCTAGGGAGACACACACCAGGAGAAATGATTCATAATCTGAATAAAATGCTATAGCATCACTGTGAAAGAGGAAGGGAAACTATGTTTGCTGAGCTAGTAGGGGTCAGTACTGGGCTGGAGCTGTGCCCACCGGGGTTCCCATTGACTCCCACAGACTCTCAGGAACAGTATTGTTCTCTGGTAAGTCTGGGTCTGAACCCAGATCTGTGTGGCTTCAAAGCCAAGAAGGGGGGCCGGTGTCATGACTCAGCAGGTCAAGCCGCCATCTGCAATGCCAGCATCCGGTATGAGTGCCGGTCCGAGTCCCTGCTGTTCCTCTTCCAATCAGCTCCCTGCAAATGTGCCTGGGAAGGCAGCAGAAAAGGCACAAGTGCTTGGGCTCCTTGTTACCCACGTGGGAGGCCCAGATGGAGTACCAGGCTCTTGGCTTTAGCCATTTGGGGAGTGAACCAGCAGATGGAAGACCTCTCTCTGTCTCTGTCTCTCCTTGTCCCTGTCTCTAAGAGTAGGAAGGGCTTTCACAGTGATGTGATATCATAGGGGTCTCTTAGTCCATTTTCTGTTGCAGTTAATATATAGATGAGATGAGTCATAGGAAAAGTTTCTTTTGGCTTACGGTCCTGCTCAAGGGACCACCTTCTTGCTGGCACAATCCAGGTGGGGTGTGTGAATGTGAGAGAGAGAGAGAGGTATGTGTGTGTGTGTGTCCTCTGGTCTCTGTCTCTCCCTTCTTATAAAGCCATCAACATCCAATCACGGCGGCCCCACCCCAACAACCTAATTCTCTAAGCCGAATCACAGCCCTAAGGCTCCACCTCCAAAGCCAAGAGTCTCCTTACCGTTCCACCCTCTTCATACCTTGTAGTGGAAATTAAACTCTAGGGTGAGTGCCAAGGGGGACACATCACAGTGTAATCCTAGAAAGGAGCTTCCAGAAGATGTCTTAGGTGGCATGGATGGTGCAGGAGAAGGGGTGCAGGTGGATCTCTTCTGAACAGAAAAGGCGAAGACCAGGGCTGGCATTGTGGCACAGTGGGTTAAGCCACCACTTGCCATGCCAGCGTTGGTTTGAGTCCCGGCTGCTCTACTTCCAGTCCAGCTCCCTGCTGATGTACCTGGGAAAGCAGCGGAAGATTGCCCAAGTGATTGGGCTCCTGCCACCCACATAGCAGGCGGTGGGCATTTCTGGCTTCAGCCTGGCCCTGACCCAGACCCAGCCATTACAGCCATTTGGGGAATGCAAATGGAAGCTCTCTCTCTGTGTCTCCCTTTTTCTGTTACTCTGCTCTTTAAATAAATCTTAATTAAAAAAAAAAAAGCCAAAGACCTAGGAAGTAGAAAAGGAGCGTAATGAGTAGGGGGTGTTTCACCTCTGCTCCAGGCTAAAGACTCAGGCCCCTCCTCACAGCATCTCAGAGAAACCCAGCAGTGGGATGAGGCCCTGGGTGTGCATCCAGGCAGCTCAGACCCCAGACCACTGGAGGTGGCAGGAGCAGCAGAGCCCTCCCACCCTGCTCCAGGGCTGAACTGGGTGGGAGGTGGAGAGCCTTCTGGGTGCCTGGGCCCCTTCTTCCCTGGCTCTGGGCCCTGACTCCACTGTTTTCTGTCCCCACAGGTTCACTGGAGCCAGCCTCCCAGCCCCAGTCATCAGCAGCAAGAACTGGCTGCGGCTGCATTTCACATCGGATGGCAACCACCGGCAGCGCGGCTTCAGCGCCCAGTACCAAGGTAGGTGGCACCCTGGACTGCTGGGCTGCCTCGGGGGACGGCAGACACAACCCTGGAGCATGCATCCTGGCCCAGGCTGGCTCTGGTGCAGTTCACGGCTCCCTTGCCTTTGTTGTCTGTTCCTCTCTGCTTCTCTGCATCTGCCTTTTGTGGACTTTTGCACCAGTAAATGACTTCTTAACAAGATTTACTTATTTATTTGAAAGGCAGAGTGACAGAGAGGAAGAGAGAGAAAGACAGAGAGAAAGAGCAATCTTCCATCTTCTGGTTCACTCTTCAAATGGCCTCAATGGCTGGAGCTGAGCCAGGTGGAAGCCAGGAGCCTGGAACTCCATCTGGGTCTCCCACGTGGGTGGCAGAGGCACAGCATTTGAGTCATCTGCCACCTTCTCAGTTGCATTAGGGAGGTGGATCAGAAGCAGAGCAGCTGGGACTCAAACCGTTACTCCAGTATAGGGTGCTGGTGTTGCTGGCAGTGGCTTAACCCACTGCACCACAATGCCGGCCTCGGGAAGTGACATTTCTTGGGTCATGCATCCTGCACTGCCTTCTGAGAGCCAGGAACAGTGCGAGGCGCTGGATGAGCATCATCTCATTTGATCTTCACTGTCACCTTGCAAGGTCAATAGTGTCACCACCCCCATTTTATGGACAAGGAAGCTGAGGCTCAGAGAAATGAGGCCAGTTTCCCAAGGCCATCCAGACTACTGTCCTTTTTTTTTTTTTTAATTATTTATTTATTTGAAAGGCAGAGTTACAGAGAGGCAGAAGGGGAGAGAGAGAGAGAGAGACAGAGACAGAGATCAATCTTCCATCTGCTAGTTTACTCCCCAAATGGCTGCAACATCTGGAGCTGGACCTATCCGAAGCCAGGAGCCAGGAGCTTCCTCCGGGTCTCCCACGTGGATGCAGGGGCCCAAACACTTAGGCCATCTTCCACTGCTTTCCTAGGCCATAGCAGGGAGCTGGGTCAGAAGTGGAGCATCCAGGACTCAAATTGGTGCCCATATGGGATGTTGGCACTGCAGGCAGCGGCTTTACCAGCTATACCACAACGCCAGTCCCCCAGGCTGCCTTTTGAAGCCAGAGCCCACCATTCTTTTTTTTTTTTTTTTTTGACAGGCAGAGTTAGACAATGAGAGAGAGAGAAGAGAGAAAGGTCTTCCTTCTGTTGGTTCACCCCCCAAATGACTGCTACGGCCGGTGCGCTGCGCCCATCCGAAGCCAGGAGCCAGGTGCTTTTTCCTGGTCTCCCATGCAGGTGCAGGGCCCAAGCACTTGGGCCATCCTCCACTGCCCTCCCAGGCTACAGCAGAGAGCTTGACTGGAAGAGGAGCAACCGGGACAGAACCGGCACCCCAACTGGGACCAGAACCTGGAGTGCCGGCGCCACAGGCGGAGGATTAGCCTAGTGAGCCGCGGCGCTGGCCAAGAGCCCACCTTCTTAACTGCACAAAGTGGAAGAGCAGCCCACACGTCAGCTCTTTCCATTTCATCTGGACCCCAAAGGCATTACAGACATAGGCAGAGGCACTTCAGGGTGCCTCAGAGCTTAGATGCTGCAGTGGGGGAGAGCTGGCTGGTGGGAAGGGCTCAGACCAGGCGTGGCAGGTGGGACTCGCAGGTGAGCAATTTCTGCTCCTGTGATGAACACTTGCCTCAGCCGGGAGCCATCCGTTACTGGGAGTGGGCTCGCCATAAGGGCAGAGCTCTCTGCAGCTGGAGGAGGTCCCCAAAATCCAGGGATGCGTGGGAGTGGAGGAGGATGTTCCTTCTCAACCTGGAGCTCATTCAAAGTACTCAACATTTACAAACACCAAGGATTGCCTCCTAATGTGCTCATTAAGCCTTTGACCATTACAGAGCTCAGATCCGTGTGGGTTTTAAGGGACTGACCATGAACTTGTGTTGTGCACTTAATAAGTCTAAGACTCTATGTATATGAGGCACTGGGCTCTGAGGCCAAGCGTCAGCTGGTCAAAGAGTCCCCTCTTTGAGTTGCCTGGGCCAGGCTCTCTGGGTGGAGCCCGGGGTGAAAGCAGTTCTAGGGGCAGAGGCAGTAACCTCCTAGGTCTGAACCGTCTATAAACAGCCTCAGTTACTTAGCCTTGGGTAGCAGCAAACGTGCGGAATGTCTACGAAATAAACAAAGAGACCGACTTGCCCAAGGTTCTCACGCTGAGAACTTTCCTGGAGATGGTTTCTGGCCGTTGAGGTTGGGCCTCCTTCGTGTGAGTGAAGCACCTGTCTGTTGTGTTTTCCGAAATAGAAGTGCACAGCTGAGTGTGTCAGTCTCACCTGATTAAATAAGTGCTGGGTGTTTCGAGCCCAGTTGTCCCCACCCTAGGTTGAGGTATGGAGCCAAACAGGAGGTAGCAGCTCACGCAGTCCTTAAATCACACATGGACTGCATGCCTGCTGTGCACCAGGCCCTGGGCCGGGTGTGTCTACTGCTCCATGCATCCCTCTCCGTAGTGCAGTGCGTGCATATGTGTTCCTGTTTTTTCCATCTGCAGCTCAGAAAGGTTGTGTACTAGCCCAAGATCACACAGCCTGTAAATGTTGATGCCGGAACTGCCTCACAGGCTAGCGTGAGATCTGCAGTATCGCAGGCCTCCTGTTACTGGGCTTTGAGTATCTGCCTTTCCCTGCTTGACCAGTGGCTTATACACTTTGTTTTGTTCATCTCAGCCCAGTGTGGAGAGAAGACTTACATTTTCCATCAGAACCCCATACACACCTGCATCTATAGAATGAAAACGAAATGTCACCAAGTGGTGTCAGCCCTGACTCACTCAGCGATGCACCCTGAAAACATCTTTTTCCTTTTGCTTTAACGCCAGTTTCCACCTTTACATTAATTTCACAGACCCGTAGCAGGGAACAGCCTGCAGTCACGGGTTTGGTTGTGTGCACCGGTCTCCTTTCGCACAGCCTGGGCAGGCTTCTATGGGTCAGTGCGTGCCAGCGTTTCAGGGGGCCTTTCTGAGGGGCAGACACTCAGCCCTGGTGGCTTTGTTCAATCCTGACTGTGATTGTGTGAAGCGAGTACAGTTAGGAGCCCATTTCGCAGATGGGAGAAGGGAGTCAGAGTTCCGAGCAGGCTCGCAGTCTCGTTCAGAGCATGATGGAGCCAGGATTTGAACCTCAGAAGCGTTCATCTGGGCAGCTTCATTACCGTGATGGTGTTAATAAGTGATTCCCCCCACCCCACCCCCCGGAACCTCCTTTTTCTAGTGTTTTCCAGATAAAGGGCGCGTGGGCAAGGATAGAATGTGGGTCATTTAGTGACTTGGTTGGTGGCCGCATGAAATGGGGGTCCTCAGCCCCAGCACTATGGACCTGGTGGCCTGGATGCCTCATGGCTTGAACCAAAGGGGCTTTAGTGAAGGGACCGTTTACGGAGGTGAGGCTGGGCTTCAAGGAACCCACGGGGATGGCCAGGGCCACAGGCGCGAAAGGGCAGCTTGGTCTTTACCAGCACGAGGCTTTAAATCTCCAGGGGTGGAGGAGCAAGAGCTGAGCCATGGAAGAGGGGCACCCAGGCAGTCCTAAAGGGCTCCTGCCAACCCACAGAGCAGGAGAAAGGGGCTAAGGAGGCAGCAGCCAGAGCAGGAGGAGGAGGCCCCAAGGGTCAGAAGCTGGGCTCTCCCTCTAGTCCCTGTGTGCCTGCCCAGCCAGAAGCGGGGCGGTGGGGGGAAGAGAGGCCCTGCTTTGCTGTTCTGTGCTCAGCAAGGCTGCCTGGCGTTACCCACAGGTCTCCTCACTCTTGAGCAACCCACAGAGGTCAGCCTTCTGGGGCACAGAGTAGGGCACAGAAGCTCGGAGCATGACCTGGAAGGGCAGGTGGAGAATCATCCCTGTGGCATCTGTTTCACGCATGCTCAGGTTGGAGGCCTTCGGGACTTGAGTGATTTATGTGGCTTCAGAGCTAATAATTGCCAGTGCCTCATTGCATTGATGGGCGTTTTTCCCCAGGGGAACAGAAAAACAAATTAAAAAAGAAAGAACAACATGCAACATAGCACATTCTACCCTGTCTCATTCCAGTTGGAATTTAGGGGTGTTCTTGGCCAGACACGGTTTGATGGACAGGAAGTCAGCGCTCTGGCCGGGCTCCGCCTCCAACTTAAGCTGGAAGGCCAGCATTTGAATTCCATCGAAAGAGCATCTTTGGTGTGGCGTTACTGTGGGACAGCATAGAAGGGTGAACACTCCCAGGCCAATCTCTGCTGTCAGGGAGAACCAGTTAAAGAGGCACACACATAAATTTATAACTTCTATACAGCGTGATAAGAGCTGTAGTTGGGGCCTGAGTAAGAGTTCTAGGACTAGAGGTAAAGGGGCCATTAGTTTTGCTGGAAGGACTTAAGGAAAGCCAAAGAGGGAAAGAGCGAGCGTGGGAGAAGCTGTGACTCGAGTGTGGGTCTCAGAGGTGCCAGACAGACAACAGGACCAAGCCTCCCGGGCCGAGCAAAGTCAAGAAAGTGTGAAATGATTAAGTCTAAGGAACCACAAATATTTACGCGCATCAAGAGCACGACTCCCAGGCCAGTTCCAGCCCTCCCCCTCCCAAACGAAGGATGGGTTTTCCTCTTAAAAGGCTTGAAGAAAAAGAAATCTAGCAATAATATTTCGCGACACAGGAAAATTGTATGAAATTCACCTTTCAGTGTCCATAAATAAAGGTTTATTAGAACACACGCATGCTCATTCACCTGTGCCTCATCTACGGCGGCTTCAGCACTGCCGGGACAGGGTTGAGTCCCTTGATAGCTCAGTGAGGACAGGCCTGGTTCTGTGGGTCACCCATGGGCGGTGACCAGCAGTGTTGAGCAAGAGGAGAGACACGACCACATTTTATTTCAGAAAGGGCTGTGCTCAAGAATGACGATAGGGTGCTCAGTTAGGAAGCTTTGAGAATTCAGTGGCCATCACCAGGGAGAAGAACTGGAGAAGAGGAGACAGCCAAGAGGAGAGACTTGCAAGGTGAACCCCAC